CCTCGGTCCTGGAGGGCCGGTGTCCTGCAGAGTTTAGCTCCAACTTGCCTCAACACACCTGCTGGTAAGTTTCTAGTATGCCTATAAGAGCTTGATTAGCTGGTTCAGGTGTGTTTAATTGGGGTTGGAGCTAAACTCTGCAGGACACCGGCCCTCCAGGACCGAGTTTGGACAGCCCTGATCTAACTTGTAGCCTAAAATTTAGGAGCGGAATATTTGTAAATGTTGTGTAAAATCTCCAAATGATTTTCTCTGAATTTATTTGAAATTCTAAATTTGTAGGGCAGCATCCAGAGCTTTATTTCATCCTTTGGGGTAACTTTATTCTTGTTTGAAGCAAATATATTTGACTAATCAAAGACTGCACAGTATTTAAATAATAAGCTCATGAAAAAACAACCTAACCTTAACCATGATTACAATAAGAATTCAAATATTTGAGAGTATTTGGAAATAAAAATAGTCATTATTTACTCACCCCCAAGTTCCAAACCTGCATGAATTTTAGCTGTTGAACGCAAAATAAGTTATTTTGAAGAAGAGTGTAGGTAACCAAGCAGTTGCTGGTAGCCATTGACTTCCATAGTATGGGAAAAAAATTAAAATACTGTGGAAATCAATTTCTATTGGCTACCGTCAACTTTTTGGTTACTGACATTCTTCAAAATATCTTTTGTGTTCATCAGAAAAAGAACAGGTTTGAAACAACCTCAGGGTGAGAAGATGGTGACAGACTTTTTTTGCTGACTTTTAAGGCTTCAATGGGGAAAATAACTATTATGAATATTTTTAAGCACCTATTTTCCTCCTAGTTGATTTTAAAGGGTCCTGCGGGGTGACAAATGACCTTTTTTTCCATCACACTGCATATGAGTGCAAACATAAATGTTAAGGTCGCTATAAATCTGCTAAATGAACAAATTTAAATGTAATTAGCATCTACTCTATATGATCGACTTCTTTGTTTCCTTTGTCCCAGGTATCAACGCACCCGTTGTTTATTTTGTTGACTACACCACCCATTGCATTTTCTTGGAGGATATTATTCACTCAGTGTCAGTAAGAGACCACATAGCATCGGCTCAAGCATCAGAACAAAACCCACAGCATCTCCAGACTCTAGCAGACAAGATTGGTGAAATCCTGGCTCAGATGCATGATGAAGATGTCATCCATGGTGATCTCACCACCTCCAACATGCTTCTGGTCAGTGGAGCTGAAGACCAGAACATGAAGCTGGTTCTGATCGACTTTGGGTTGAGTTATATTTCTGCTCTACCAGAAGATAAAGGCGTTGACCTGTACGTGTTGGAGAAAGCTTTTCTCAGCACTCATCCCAAAACGGAGACTTTGTTTGAGAGACTTTTGAAAAGTTACACTGCTTCATCCAAAAAGTCCTCAGCGGTCATCAAGAAACTGGATGAAGTTCGATTGAGAGGACGGAAGAGGTCTATGGTCGGATAAAGTGCATTACAGCGTGTATTCTGGCATTGAAATGGTTTCACACAGGATTTGCTACAAGCTTAGAGCTGTAGTTTGATGTTGGAAATGTAGTCATTTTTGTAGTACATGAATGTGTAGGGTTTTTCACGCACTGAACATAACGTAATGAATGGTTCAATCTCAGATTCTCCAATTCAGTGTGAGTGCATAAGACAAATGCAGACCCTCGACTGAAGACTGATTCACACTTGGAAATCCACTGATACCAGCTGATCAATTTTTAATGAATGTTGGTCAAAGAGTAACTTTTTTTCATACTGTACTGTTTTATCTAAAGTTCAATATAATTAATATAGTGCAATGTTAATTGCCAAAAAATGGCAGTTGCATTTTTGGAGCCCTACATGATGTTAAACATGTAAATTATCATGTTCAGTGTACTTCCAAGACCTGCGAATGAAACCAATAAAAAACTGCATTCAAGTTTCGCTTTTGTAATGTGCGTTTAAATAAGTAATATACAGATTCTGGACAATCATGACTGATGGTCAAGTCAAATTCGCATTATTTATATACAGTAGTGCTTTATAACACACAGATTGTATAAAGAATAGTGAAAAAAGTTGGAGATGGAGAAAAAACCTTTTGCAGAAACCAGGTTCAGTCGAGTTTTTGTCATGCAGCCTCATCATCAGCATAAACTCACAAGTCAGAATTGAGGATTAATATTATTCAAAGACATTGCATTGCATCCTTCTGCTTGAAAATCAGGGAACATCATACCAGCACGAGTCGTAGTCTGTACAGCAGGTTGAAACATGACGGTAGAGCTGCTGTGATGGTATAAAATCAATGACAAAAACATGCAATTATAATAGTGTTCATGATCACTTATTTTCAGTTTAATTGATCTCCAAATAAAAATAAATGTTAATTCATTCATTGTGCATATAATACAAGAATTTTCCTGGTTGTACAAAAATATAACATATTTGATAATTAACCAAAATATATTTCCATCCTTGATGTTGCATTACTGCCTATTGTTGTATTAGAAATAGTTTTTTTGTTGTCACTGTACTCCTTGATTTTATGATGAAAATATAGCTTTTTTTAAACAAAACCAAACACAGTAAAGATACAAAAAACAGAAAGATCGGTACATTTTGCCTGACCAACAGAGATAAAACTCTGTTTCAGCATAAATCAAAAGTACAAACACACCATAATAAGAATTTTTTATCCAAAGCAGTAAGCAGACATGGAAGAAATATAAAATACATTGTCATTCCAACCGATGGCACAGAGAACATCCTAACACATGCTGAGGTTATTAGGCAAAATGGTCCAAAAATAAAATCCATAAAAAGATTAAAACTCCAATAAATAGGAACAAAAACCAAACAGTATTTTAATAATAGCATCAAGGCTGTAGGACATTAAAGGGTTTTTAAAAAGATTTTCATAGCAGTGAAATAGAATTTCGTACTTCAGTGATCAGTGGGAAACACACACACACCTGTACCAGTTGGTGAGAGTCATCATGATGTAAAGAGACGCCAGGAACAGCATGAAGTGAAAGAAAGCGTAGCTGTACTGAACAGTGTCTCTTTCGTTGTCCTCCACAATTGGTGTTGTGACCTCTTCTGCTATCTCAGGACTTACTGTGCAGCTTTCATCCACGACTGTGGTATCTTTAGCTGCTAAGGTTAGTTTATTAACTTGACTGGTATTGGAAGAGCGTATACTGTGAAGAAGAAAAAAATGAAGCTCTTTATGGCTGAAGCATTAGAACTTTAGTATGTGTGTTGTGTTCAATATAATGTCTTCAAGAATGTTTATTAATCTATTAAAACTACCAGTTAAAAGCTTGGACACATTCCCATGCATGCTTTACAAGTTGTTGGTAATTTGGTCCAATTTATCCATTATGCAACTTATATACCCATTAAAAAAGGTATATGGTAAAGGTAAATACATTTATTCAAATATGTCCAGAGTTTTTACTGGCGGTTATAAATAGTAGTGGTTCCTTTGCACTTTTTTTTTTTTTGTCAAATAATCCACAATTTACTCCAGAAAACTGTTGAAATTAAAACATTTTCTGGCATCCACATGTCTGTCTTTGGTGTGTAGCGGCATAAGCATTAGTATGGCCCATCTGGATACTTGTGTTGTGTTCAATATAATGTCTTCAAGAATGTTTATTAATCTATTAAAACTACCAGTTAAAAGCTTGGACACATTCCCATGCATGCTTTACAAGTTGTTGGTAATTTGGTCCAATTTATCCATTATGCAACTTATATACCCATTAAAAAAGGTATATGGTAAAGGTAAATACATTTATTCAAATATGTCCAGAGTTTTTACTGGCGGTTATAAATAGTAGTGGTTCCTTTGCACTTTTTTTTTTTTTGTCAAATAATCCACAATTTACTCCAGAAAACTGTTGAAATTAAAACATTTTCTGGCATCCACATGTCTGTCTTTGGTGTGTAGCTGAATGAATGAATAAATGAATGAACCCAGACAATATTATTGGCACCTTCTAGAAGTAGTTACAAATAATTTGATTTGAAGCAAATCTTTTCAGATTGGTAAGAGCCTACAGTACAAAAATCACATTCAACCAGTTTGAATGGGGAAAAAAAAAATACTTTTCCTGTTTTGTGTCACTGTTTTAACCGCAACAAGAACAGACAAAAGAAAGAGGCACAATATCATAGCCAAGCATGGACAATCTCAAGGCTACAAGCACACCTCCAAAGACCTTGATGCTGCTGTTTCCACCATTCATAATGTTATCATGAAATTTGAGGCCCGTGGCGCAGTAGCCAACCTCACTCTCAGAGGCCATAAGAGAAAATGTGAAAATTATGAATTATTTGAAAACAATTGCAAGAGTGACAGACAACGACTGCATATATCACAGTAAAAACACTACCTTGAATACAAAATGCAGAGAACAAAAATGGCCAATCCGACGATGCTTTGAGCGTCCCACCACTGCAAATACGGGCCAGATGGCACAGTTTCCTCTATGTCTACAATGATGACGGCCGTCTGGTTCTCGATCTCCAGTGGCGCGACTGTGGCGGACGTGATCTGCTGGAAGATGCTGATCAGACTCGGGTTGCATGTGCGGTCTGGAGATGAGGGATGGACACAAACAAAACAACAGATCTTGAAATTAAGCAAATGTATCAATGTGAAAGCAGGAAGGTAAAAGCAAGGTCAAACATTCTGAATATCAACTAAGTCACATGGTCTAATTTAGCTAAGAAAGAAGACATTAAATGAATAAAAACCTTTGTGAAGCTGCTAACCTGGCTCATTGGTCATGGCTGACCAGGTGAGGTACATGGTGTACAAAGTCATAATGGATGACTGAAGAAGACCAGATCTGGGCTGGTATTCCTAGAATTATACACAGTCTCATTTCACTGGACTATAAATCATAAAAGGACCATAATTGAACACTAAACATGTAGTTACAAATGAAAACTGTATGGCAGGTATAGACTAGCAAATGTCTCAGAGAAAACACTTGTTCCCTTGGCTTTGTAAAAAAAAATGCACCTGTAAATACCTGAATTCTGGGCAGTACAGACTGTAGTAAATCAGCTCAAAAGGGAAATATTTATGACTAATTATAACTGGTTATGATTAATAATAAATATTTAGATTAGATCTTAGAATTAACTGTAGCAGAATCAATATTACAATTATTTGATCTGTCTGTCCACCGAGCAGATCATAATCATTTATCAATTCAAGGAAAGACTATTTTCCTGGCCAAGGAAAGTAGCTTTCCTTCTTTATGCAGTGCTAGCAGTAATTTAGCATGTAGCAAGGGATCAAACATTCAGTGACTTCGAATTGTGAGCAACGCACAGAGACAATCAGTTGTGAATATAAGGGATTTAATAAATGAAACTATATCTAACATATAACTAAACTAAGCACAACGCATATATACAGAATGAAGGAAAGTAAGGAAGAGAGAGAGAAGAGTAAAAGAATGGCAGTATTTCACATCAAGTTTAAACACAACCTTTGAGAATCATCAAAGAATCAAAAATCACCTTAAAA